AGGTTCCAATCCAGTTAGGCCAATGGCTAACCTGTGACCTTTGGAAAACTGGCTGGGCTTTCCTTATAAAATAAAGGTGAATAGAGTTGATGGGCTTTAATATGCCTCTGCCTCTGGTAATTATGAAATTCTCTTGGGAAAAACAGACCTGATTTACCATTTTCAGGGTTTTTGTGAGGCTCAAAGAATAAAACATACCAGTTAGGAGTAGCTGTATTTACTTTCTTTTCTAGTCAGCATTTGGTGAAAGAGATGAAAGGAAAACAGTAGCAGAAAATATTCACCCCCTTCCACTTTAAAGAAGGAAGGAAACAATTTAAGGCTCTAGAGTTATTTATGGTTCATTCAGATAAAGATTTGGTGAAGTAATTAAACTTGGCTTGTGTTCGTATGTTGATTATGAGCACCTAAAGTAAAATCATTGTCAAACAAAGCAATATGGTTCTCTTATCTGATTAAAATGTTCAAAACGTTGACAAACAAATCTTTTTAAAAGATAAATCTAGTGTTTGGCATATGTAATGTTATTTCATTGATTGATTAATCTAAGTCCTTTCCCAGGCACTGGAGATAGAACCAAGCAGTCAAGAGTCCCTTCCTTCATATGGCTTCCCGTATGTGAGGCAGTGGCTTAGATTCTCAGCACCCCAGAATACTAAATAAAGATACCGTGTGTCCATCCAAAACTAAAATTACAAAAAAGAACAGTAATTTTGGATGAAGTCTCTCACCTTCCTCTGGTAAGCCTCCTGACATCCATGAAGTGGGAACAGGGATCCTTTGGGTCAAATGATTTGTTCCAGGCCCAGCAGTAGCTAGGACATAGGTGGTTGGGTTTGTTTCTTGACTCAAATACACATAAAGAATGTACCCCCGGCAGTCAGTAGGCCTCTAATTTGGGAAGCAGAGCAGTATTAACTGCAGGCCCATTTCATCTTTCCTCATTCTCAAGAAGGATGTCCAGGCCACCGTGACTTTAGGCAAATGAGGGGCATGGGAGCTTACTTTGGACACAATCCTGGACTGCTCCAGGTATGGAAACCTCCAGCCAGAAGTTTAGGATGAGTGTCACACTAGTGAGAGGAAGTAAAGAATACATAAATAACTAGTGACACTATATCAAGTCGTAGAGGGGTAAGTGCTATGGCAAAAATTAAAGCAGAGTAAGGAAGATAGGGAGTATCAAAAAAGAGAGTGCTGTTTTCTACGAAACCCTATTGCTGATATGGACCATTTGAGGAAAGTTGGAATGGAGCAAGAGACAAATCACAAAAATAAATGTGTGGGAGGAACCCATTCCAGGCAGAGGGGACAGCAGGTATCCAGGGAAGAGCAAGAAGGACAAAGTGTGAGAGGTAGAATAAAAGGATTAATTTCCCACCATCTTTTTCTAAGAAAAGTGTGGCCAAATTTACCTTCATGCTAATGTTAATTTTCATAAAAGTCAGGCAGAAATTCTTTTATTGAGGGACTGGGAGTGTAGCTCAGTGGTAGAGTGCTTGCATAGCATGCCCAAGCTCCTGAATTTGAGCCCCAGCACCACACACACACACACACACACACACACACACAAATTCTTCATTGAACTTCTTTGGTCTGTGCTTCAGTTTTTCATTTGTAAAATGGGTATGATAATAATATTTCATAAGGGTGTTGTAAGGACTATTTAACTTTACTAAATGTTAAGTATAATTAAGACAGTGTGTAACACAAAGTTAAACCATGATGTCTAGTTATTATAACTGACAAATCATTATCATCTCTTTATTTACAGCAGTTTCAGTAATTGCATTTTTAAGGCCAATTTTGTTTTGTTTTTTTTTTTTGCACTGACCATTAATTATTAGGGGAGTTTCCTTACACATGTTGTTAGGCTATTAGGTAGAGCTATGATATGGTATGGCTCAAGCACTGAGGCTTATGTCATCAAAAGTTCTACACGAAAGTTTAAAATAATATAAAATATAACACCTTGATAATAATGGTAATATCTTAATCTAGTCATAAAATGGTTATATTATATCCATATTCTCACTTAAGTTTTTCTTTATTTTTACTAGTCCATCTTACTCAGTTTCCTTTCCTCATGACAGCAAGGAATCCTTGCATGTTTGCAATGTCTTTCATATTCATTTTCAGCATGTGGACTGAATTGATTCCTTGTTTCTCAATTACAACCATCATGGAATCAAGATTAATAACCTGCTTGGTGAGTTTTGTCCACTTCGGAATCCGGAGGCTTTGTAATCATTGTGGCCTGTTGGACTCTTTGTCGTTCTTTCTAAATGCTCCAGCAGTGAGGTCAAGGACAGCAGCAGTCCAGGAGCCTGGCTGCCTTTGGGGAACTCCGGCCTACCTCATTATTTCTTCCCCTTGTCCAGGCATTTGTTTATTCCTGGTTGAGGAGAAGCTGAGAGTGGATTTAAAGTTCCCTGATATATTTTCTGTGCTTAGAAGAATGCCTGACACATTGGAGGTACTCAATAAACATTTGTGGAATAAATAAAAATAGGATAAGCCTGGTGGACAGTGTTGTACCCTCCTAAACAGACTACCATTAAAGTGAGGCTGAGAAGGATGAGCACCTGTCCATTGAGAGGCTAGACTCCCACCTCTACTGCCCATGTGGAACATGCACCTTCATGATCTGCCTGTGATATCTGGGACCACCTTTGCTTTAGGCATGAGGTTTATGTGGCCATTGCATTTGGTTTCATGAATTATAACCAACTTGAGCATAGCTTATAGTAAAAAAATAAATAAGTGCAACCTGGAAGATTTTTTATTCTCAGATTTACTGAATTGATTCCTTGTTTCTCAACATCAACATTCTTTCAGAAAATACTTAGTGAGGGCTCATTCTGTTTCCGACTGGATAATGTAGTACTGCAGAACTTCAAATCTACATAGTAAACACCACCAAATAGCCAGGTGCAGTTGCATGCACCTGTAATCCCAGCTACTTGAGGAACTGAGGCCGGAGGATGGCTTGCCCTCACAAGTTACATTGCAAGACCCTATCTTAAAACAGAACAAAACACATTACCAAATAAACTTGGCCCAGCACCATGATACCATAAGAATAATATCCTATGTACAATATGATCGAAAATAGGATACTTAATTTTCAGAGGGGAGAAGAGAAAGGTTTCAGAGTAAAAGTGGTATTCGTTATCATGAAAGGAATAAAGAAACATATGAATGGGCAGAGTGGTTATGTATTAATACATGCTATAAATATAAAATAGTGATACTGCAACATCTGCTATATATGTTTTATTATTATCCAGTTATGCCTCTGATTTCTCATTTATCTGTTATTTCCTGCTCTCTAATGCCATAACCACGAGCTACTTTAATGGAGAAACAATGGTTAAAAAACAAGCAAACACACACACACACACACACAGAGCCAGTTGGTTTAAAAAATAATTCAGGGGGCTGGGATTGTACCTCAGTGGTAGAGTGCTTGTCTATCACATGTGAGGCACTAGGTTCGATCCTCAGCACCACATAAAAACAAAATGAAGGTATTGTGTTCATCTGCCACTAAAAAAATATTTTAAAAAATAATTCTGGGCAAGTTCTTGGGACACTTTCAGAGGGTTTGGTGGCAGTATTAACACCTTATTCCTTATTCCTTTCTTTGCAAAGAAACTGCCAGATAGCAGATTTTTCACAGTCATTCTTTGTCAATTAATACTTTAATTTTATTGTAAAAATGAACTACCATATTTCTCTGGAAATGTTTTCAAATATCATATGTCCTCTTATTAATAAAGAAGAAAGAGAATATGGCAGATGTCTCATATATTTTGAAAAAGATTCAAGGGAAGGATGAGGTTGAATGACTTTTCCAAATACCCTTTACATAATTTTGCTCATTTGTCAGCGAATATTCATGTTCTGTCTGTTATGTGTCAGCATAGACAATAGGAAAAATATTCTTGGTAGAGCTATTAAGTGTAACTAATATGTACAGCACTTTATTCAGTACAAACACTGTGCTTTTACCTTCCATATATAATGTGTGATCCAATTAAAGCATTTATCCATTAAAGGATAAATGACATGTAATCAACTAGTATTTATTGAGCATTTCAATGTGTCCAGTTACCGTGTGTACATCCATAGCTGATGTTTTCAGGTAGTTTTTGAAAATGACAATCTGCTGAAGAAAGAAAAAGCGGGGAAGTTTTAAAGTTAGGCACAAAATGTATGTTTGTTTCAGAAGGCAAAAGGAGGGAAGAAGTAGTTCCATAAAATAAGTTGAGGACAAGAGTCCTGAGAAGGAATTTATAGTGTCCGCCTGAGAAATGTCCAATTAAACCAGGATGGAAGACTTGCTCCCTACTGGAATGTGCAAAAGGTGATTTTTCTCTCACTCGTCCCGTTTCCCAGCTGCAGCCCCTGCGTCCCGGGACCATGAGGACTGGATGAGGCAGCCACGCAGCTGACAGCCTGTGCCCCGCGAGCCAGCGGTCACCCCCACCTGCTGCCCGCTCCGGCCCCGCCCCCACGAGCGCCGGCCAATGGCGGGACTCCGGGGGGCGGGCGGGCGGTGCGCGGCGGGGGCGGTGCGTCCGCGGCCAGCGCGGTCGTGGCGGTGGCTGCAGGGGCGGCGGCGGCTTGGCCGGGCGTCTGCGGGCCGTGCGTGGGGGATGGGGACGGCGAGCTCCAGCCCTCGGCGGCGGCGGCGGCGGCCGTGAGCGTTGGACGGGCGTCCGCGTCCGGGACGCGGGATGGAGCGCCGCGGTGAGTGTGGGACGGCGGTGCTCGCTCTGGCGCCGGACCGGGTTCGGGACTGCGGAGCCGGCCGCCGGCCAGTAGCTGTCCGGGGTCGGGGCGGCCACGCGGTGGCCCGGGGCCGAGGCGGCTGCGGGCGGGGCGGGGTCCTCCCGGAGTATCGATCCCGGGCGAGGGCGCCCACGAGCGGGACGTCACGAGCGGGCGCTGTGGGAACGTTGCGGACCTCGGTGAGCAGCCGGAGTGGGGCGACGCCGCGGGAACCGCGGGCGAGACTGGCGAGCGGACTTTACTTTTCCTTCTTGGTTTTCGGGTCTTCATGTCCGTCTTTCCCAGTGGGATTTTTTTTTTTTTTTGGAAGTTTGGTGACATTTCCTGGAATTTCATTCTGACTAGTACGAAGGCTGAGGTAAAGAAACACACCCCGTGTTCCATATTTACTTTTTCTTAACACACTTCACCTCTTCTAGGCCTTGGTTGTTTACTACTTTGGTGGGGAGGGGGGCCTAAAGGTGCAGGAACACTCTCCTTCCCTTTCTTTCTGAGTGCCCCCTCTGATGCATCTCTATCGTACCCCTTTTCTGCCCTTCCCTTGTTACTGTCCCTTCTGTTTCTATTCACCTTTTCCCAACCATGGCCCTAGGGCAAGTCGTGTGCTTTGCAAAATAGGAATTGATAAGCTGGGAGATTGCAGCTACTACAGGGAGAGCACGTCCCTTTGAGTTTGTTGCCCTGGTTGTCTTCAGGACCCCGTCCGTGATGAAAAATCGGGTATTCCAGAGGCTGTCTGGGTTCTGTGGAAACCAAGTGGACCACGACTCTCCTTGTCTTTGAGTCAGACAAGTGCCAGATTTATCTCATTTTTTCACTACTACTCCTCCCAGGATGGGATTCTACTCTGAGTTGTTTGGATCTTTGACATCCACTGAGTTCTTTGGATCTTCTGGAGGAAGGGAGGAGCATTAGGTGTTTTGTGAATGTTCCAAGACCATTTCAAAACAGCAGACAGCTTTTTGTTCTATAGCTATCTTTTCCTCTTTGGATTAACTTCACCTCCTTATTGACTTTGGGAGTAGGGGTCTCTCTCTTCATGAAAAAGAATTCAAAATTAGATGGAAGGTGAGTATTTAGGATGAGTAAATAAATCACAGCACATTATAGTTGTATATCTTAGAGATTTAGATCCTTTTTCCCCCCAGTGATTTCTTTAGGCACTTTGCCAGAAATGCCTACTTAGAAATGCTTCCTTATTGTAAGAACTGTGCAAGTGAGGAACTGTGACACTTAAGCCTCATTAGGTTTACAATACATATAGCTCTGGTCTCATGATTTTGATAAGACTTTTTTAAGAGTGAATTTGAAGAAAGCAAGATAAGCCCAGGTAGAAAAGTTTCAGTCCCCAAGTTGGCAGGATACCGAACTTTGGCTGAGATGAAGAAATCACTATTCAGTGAATGTATGGTCACTCCAGCTCCCTCCACCTCCCTAAAATAGAACAACCATCTCAGTTATCGGCACCTTCACCTCCCAGCTGTGAAAGCCCTTGACCTAGGAATGTGGGCTTTTACAAGAGTTCTTGGTCCCAGTGGGTTAGTACTACCGCTGAATAGAGATTATTCCCAGGAGGTATCCTGGAAGGATTTTGCTTCCTGTCCATGGTAATTTTTTTCAGCATTCACTCTGAAAATTTAGCAGGATCTCACTTTATGCTAGACAGAGTCCCTGTAGAACCTTTCCGTTTATTGAGTGGCAGTATGCAATAACCAAAAACTAGAGCCCAAGGCATAATGTGGGTTACCTGATAGAAGTATGAGCAATCCCCTATGGAAAAGTACAGGGATGATTATTTTCATTGGAGGGGATGAAAAGGCATTTTGAAAGAAGTGATGTTTTTGTGTGAGCTTAAAGGTAAAGAGTAACTTTAATAAGCACAGAAGATAAGGGGTCCTTCCTGTGCAGAATTGCTGATTATCTCTAATGTATACCAGGATATCATTGATCCAGCTTAGATGTTTCTGCTTTGAAGCATTGACGGTTATTTTGTTTGCCATTTACTTTAATTTCGTATTCTCTTCCAGCATGGTAATGAGCCACACATATAAAGACGTATTTATGTGTGTAACAAAACAAGGGGGTTTAAGAAGGTTAGGAGCACATTCTGGTCTTTTTTTTTTTTTTTGGAAGGTGGTATGCACTTTATTTATTGTCTTTATTATTATGGTTATAAGTAAATGAGCCACCTTGTTCATAGAGCAGATATTCTGCAATAATACCTCGCTAGGTAAGAATTTTATTTTTCTTGAAGAATGTTTCAGGTTGTGTTGCTGAGAAAGTTTTCAAGTGTCACAGTCTTCCTTTTTATATTTTATTTTTTGTGGTGCTGTAGGTTGAACCAGGGCTTCAAGCATGCTAGGCAAGCACTCTACCACTGAACTACACTCCCAGCCCCTACAGTCTTCCTTTAAAAGGAAGAGGTGGGAGCTAATTAACATGTTTTTAGAAGTATTAGGGAAGGGTAAGCTGTGGCTGGGAGCTGATGATGGTGACCACAGTAAAAGCAAACTGATAGCATGTACCACACCAATTGCTTGATTTTGTGAGAGTGTTACACGTTCTGCCTCCTTTAGTTGTCGCAACAGATCCTTGTTTTTTTTTTTTTACTCATTTCTCACATAGGCAAATTAAAGTTAAAAACCAGCACAAGCACACTGACTAGTAATTGTCAAGAGTGAAGAACTAAACCCAAGTGCCTTTGTTCCAGAATGTGTGCTCTTGATGGCTTAAGTCTGTGGACTTGCCTCTGTCCCTGCCCCGCTCCTGCCAACCCTGATTGTAATTCTTACTCCACTTGGGCTCTCATCACTCCCCTTGAGGTGTTTTAGGATTTCAGTGGTGTGTTTTTCTCCTCACCTCTGTCTTTTGAATTTATAAGGGGTGTTTTGTTTGCGGGCTCCTCAAGCTCAGTGGTTTTGTCTCAATTCTATTTTGAATGGGTTTTGAGGTTTGATGGCTTCAATTTAATTTTTTTTTTTACTTTGAAGGGATGAGGTCAAGTCTGAGATGGTTCAAGGTTGAACCCTAATGCCAGATGAACCTGTGCCTTTGTTTATTTGTTCACATTCTTTCTCAGGAGGGAATTTGCCTCTTACCTTTTCAGAGGACAGTATTTTACCTGCGAAAGGCAAGAGCTAAGCACTCCTTCCCTTCTGTCTTCATGACTGTCTCTTGTCTGTCATGTCTTTTGTCTGTTGTTACTAGGCCTTTGGGGAGAAGCTGGAGTGGTGGTGGTGATGGTGGTTCTCTCGCTTTCCTTCTGTATTTAAGTCCAGGATGGGGAACATGCTCTTTGCCATTGGGTAGTTTTGGCTGGTCTGAGACAAGCCTTGCCTGCCAGGAATGCTAGACATTTTGGAGGCGTGGGAGGCTGGGCAGCTTCCTCTTTTTTAAGCATGCTGGGTTCAAACTGTACAGGAATGAACTGTATGTGTGTTGTACGCCTTCCTTTGGAAATTGTTTACATATTATTGATAAAACACTCCCTGTTCTTTTTTGGGGGGGTGTTTTGTTGTTTTGCTATGTTACTGGAAATTTAACCCAGGGGCACTTTACCACTGAGCTCCAGCCTTTTTTATTTTTTTAATTTGCTGAATTGCTGGGGCTGTCTTGGAGGTTGCCATCTTCCTGCCTCATCCTCTCAAGTAGCTGGAATTGCAGGTGTGTGCCACTGCACTAGACTTGGGAGTGTGTTTAAAAATGTAATTAAAGACCTTCAGAACTCTTCTGATTTTTTTTTTTTTTTAGCATCTTTAAATAGATTCTTACCATATCAGAAATTGTGCTAAAATAGCAGGTTTCTGAAACATCTACAGTTTTTCCTGTAGTGGAAATAGTAAGAATGGGTCCTATTAAATACAGATACTTGAGAACAATTCATTTCACACTTCAAGTAGTCCAGTACCTTAAATAAAATACTTCTATAATGTGCATTTTTGGGGTTGTATGTGCATGGAATAGAGGATATTGATTGACACAGGTTACTGAAGTGTTGGAAAAGCCACTTGGGAGACAGGAAGTTTGTATATAACTTTCTTTCTTCCTTTATTTCATTGCCCCCCACCCACTTTCAGTGCTTGGGATCAACCCAGGGCCTGCCACATGCTAGGCAAGCACTTTGCCACTGAGCTACTCCCACCCTGTGTCCATATTTCTAATTTATATTACTTAGAATTTAGAATAAACAGAGAAAGTAGTTTTACATGGTGATTTTATGCTTGCTACAAAATTCTATGATAAGTGGGTAATGTATGTTTTTAATGTCTATGGTTCAGAGTTGGAAGAAATGTTATAAGAATTAGAGTTCAACTGTCTGTTTATACAGTTCAAACTTCACTTGGAAGGCTTTTAGTAGGTTTTCATGAAGTCAGTTAAATCTCCGGACTTGCTTCTTGCTCACAATCTACAGATGTAGTGAAGTCACATTTATTACTTAAGTGTGTGGAAAAACAATAAAACACTGCAACTAATGATGACTAACAGTTATTGAGTCTTCATGATGAACCAGGTGCTATGCTAAGTACTTTTCATGCATTAGCACCCAACTTAATTAAATTACTAGCTGCAATCTATTATTAACTACATTTTATGTCACCTCTCACTAGAAATATCCATTTTGTTATAAAGGAAAATGAAAAGTACCTTATAAGTAGTATATTAATGATCATGGAAAAGTGTATATTGTCTAAACTTTATTTGTCATAGTTCAGTTATTAAAACTTGGCTTATATTTGTATTCTAAACATTTTATCAGTTGTAATATTAATGTTTCCCTTTCCCAGTTTTAAATGTGAAAAGTAGTAGAAACACAGAATTAGAACATTAATCATAATATTGGCTAGAGGTAGAATATAATCCTTTTTAGTGCCCCTTGTGTGAATGGGAGGGGGAGAGAGAGAACATATTTCTCTGTCTTGTATAAACATTTTCAAGTATTTTTTTTTTTTTTTTTTACAACTTTGGGTTACTGATTTGACACAGTTACTTAAGTACATTCTTTTTACTCAGGTGAGATGTTTTATTTGAAACTTGTGATATATCTTTAGTTTTTATAAACATGTTTACCAATAACAGTGACCAGTTGCCTAATTTACTAAATTTAAAAGCTGCCAGAGGTAAACAATGACTTTAAGTAAACTGCAAAAGTGATAAGATTTGTTGGGCTAAGAGCTCTTCAGTTAGTGATTTGTACAAGAGCTGCCCAAACAAGGCACTTGAATTTTTTGTTTTGTTTATTTCTGTTGATGGCAAAAGCTAGGTATAATTATACTACTAAAAAATCATCCTAGGTTCATTTTAGAAATTACACATTTAAGGATTAATATTAGATAGACTTGAAACTAGTTGAAGAGTAAAATTCTATTCTTAAATAATTTGGAATTAACAAAAGAATATCGAATAAAGGAATTTAAAAAGCTATAATTAGAAGGAACAGAATAGAAATATAACTTTTATTTCAATTTTATGTAATTTTGCCTTTACTCAGCTTCATGTCCTTTTTTAAAAAAGAGATAGATTTTTTTTTTGAAAAATTATTTCTGTTTGAAATATTGCAAAAACCTAGTTATTTTGTTGTCTGTTAAAGTCAGTTGTAACTTTATTAATTTATATCCATTCATTCTGCAAATAGTTTGAGTAGTTCATCCTTTCTCTTGTAAAGCACTGTGCTGCAAACAGAGAACAAATGATTAACAACCAAGACAAGGTCTTAATTTCCTTAAGATTCTAGTCTAAATGGTAAGATCTGAATTATCTATTTGGACTGTGGTAAATGCAGTGATGAACAGTGTAGGATGCTCTAGATCATCTCTAGGAGTTCTGTTCTAGTTGGGTGATGGTGATTATGGGGCCATGGGAGTAGTGCAGGAAAGTTTCTCTGAGGAAGTGATCTTTGGGTAAGATCAGAGTGAGTGAGTGAAGGAGAAGAAGGAATATTGCAGGCAAATGGATCTTCATGTAGACTGGACCCTGATGTGAATAGTAGGTATTTTTAAAGCTATAATGTCATGACCCCTGTTACATGTATAAAAACAATTTAGCGAGTTGCAACCAGCATTTATAAAAATAAAATGGAATAGAATGAAAAAAATCTGAGTATATCTCATAGATCCTTAGCTAGAATCTGTTTTATGAAAGACAAATAGATCTGACACATACCACACACCAACATTACATACTAATGTATCTATACTGGTCATGATGTTTCATACTGTGGGTGAAAGTACACAAATACTGTTAGAAGGAAAAGGAGATGTTTATGGCAGGAGTGTTGAGAGCCAGGAGTGTGACTTCAGATAACATTGCAGGACCAGGCAAGAGCCACCACATCTCACTTTGAGCCTCACAGAGTATGACATTTTTTCACTTGTCCTTTGGAAGGTTTGAGCAGAGAAATGGCACCATGAGATTTATGTTTGAAAAGTTTACTCGCTACATTTATAATGGGACGAGAATGGTTGTGGAATGATCATTAGGAAATTAGTGCAGTAGCTCAGGCAAGAAATGACAATTCACTAGTGTAGGAGAGGCAGAAATAGAATGGGATAGACTAGAGAACTGTAATCCCAGGGAGAAATCAAATCAGTGGAATTGGGCATGGTGTAATAGTACATGGTACAGTAATGTATTTTAACAAATGATGAAAACATTACATAAAACTTTGTACTGTGAATTCATAGAAGTCCTTAGTCATTTTACATTTTGAAAGTGTCCAAATATTTAAGACAAAATATTTGAAAAATCTTTTAATGATCATGCTTGGGCTAATTCCTCAAGTTGTTTCCTTTTTGATTTCAAGAAATTTAAAATAGTTGGGGATTTTATTCTGGAAAGTTAAAATAAGGATGAAGAAGAAATTCCTCAAGATTCTCTTGAGTCCCAGTGGGCTAGGATTAGATGTTTTAACACAAAAATTTCTAAATTTTGTGATGCCTTTTAATCTTCTCACAAACCTGAGTATGAATTGTATAAGTCACACATCTGGAAAACACTAGAGCCAGGATTCAAATCTTTTTTTTTTTTTTAATAATTCTAAACATTGCCTTTTCACTATTCCATCGTTAAATTACCAGAAATATTTCTCTGATAACATGACATTTATTTGTACAGTCAGGATACATCAAATTAGGGGACATTCTTAGAACTATTTTTCAACAAAAAATGTTCTTCATGAAACTTAATAACCCAGAATGTCAGCCTGTATGTGTACATGTATATATATCACTAGAAAAAATAACTGTAATTAAACTACTTTTATGTGCTCAATGGATACTTACATACTACTGTCTTATTTAATTCTGTAAAATAAGCTTCTGAGGTAGGTGTTGTCAGGATGTTTTTCTGATTTTATAAATAAGCATACTAAAGTGAAGAGATGATTAACAGCTTCTAAGGGCATATAGTAAATAATGGAAGAGGATTTTAAAAACATTTCTTTTTCAGAGTCCATATTTCATCTTTATTTTTGAATGTTATATTATAGAGGGAAGATGTGACCTACTAAGTGATGTTTCAGAACAATTTTTACAATTAAAAATATTATGTACCTTAGGAATTAAGAGGAAGTTAAAGCAGATCTAGATTTAACTCAAGAGTTCATCATTTATCAGCTGAGAACATAGACATATTTTTAAACCTCTAAACCTCAGGTTCCTCACTTGTGAAATGAAAAGAATGATAGTTTGCATATTGGGCATTGTCAGGATTATGGACACTTAATGAATGGAAGCTATTATTCATAGTACAGAGTTTTATTCATTTGTTTTTAAAATTGAAAACAGGAGACTAAGGTGGACTGTGGGCAATTTGTGAAACTCTAATATGTTTTCTTGGCTAATGTAGTATTTGTGTTTCTCTCTCTCTCTCTCTCTCTCTCTTTTTTTTTTTTTTTTGTTTCTTGCCCCCTTAAGGATTTCAGTTTTTCTGATTGTTAAATGAGAGGATGCTTGCTCACAAACAGAAAAAGGCAAAGAAAAAACGTGTTTGGGCATCAGGCCAACTCTCTACTGATGTTACAACTTCTGAAATGGGGCTCAAGTCCATAAGTTCCAACTCCAGTTTTGATCCGGACTACATCAAGGAGTTGGTGAATGATATCAGGAAGTTCTCCCATGTGTTAATATATTTGAAAGAAGCTATTTTTTCAGGTTTGTCAACTGTTTTCTCTTAGCATTCTTACTGGATAGGTTGTAAAATTTTAAATGCCAGCCACCCTACAGATAAGTGTGTACACAGTGGTAGAAACAGGTTATTATTCTGCTTTAGTTATTTTAATCATACCTCTAAATGTTTGATGTTTACAATGTAAATGAACCATTTTCTAGCCAAATAATTGTGCAGTTGGGGAATGATATTGGCCAAACTATATTGTTATGTGCATGTATGGATATGTAACTACAAATCCCACCACTATGTACAAATGTAATGCACCAATAAGAATAATGAGGAAAAAATGAACAGAAGCAAAAGAAAATTTGAAAAATAAACAATGATGCAGTATATAATAATTTTGGTAAGGGTGGGGAAACAAGAGTACCAAAAAGGAAAAATAAGTCTTTGGTTTCTCTCAGTTTGGTCCAGGATAATTTGAGACCATTGGAATCTAAACCTTCTTGTTAAAGACAGTACAGCACATTGATTGGTCTTTAATAAGCAAACTAATGTTTACAATGTAGATTTTTGATGCTTTGGCCTTAATTCAGCTTTCCACATTGTTGGCAACTTTTAAATGACTGTATTTGAATGAATTTTCTTCCCCAATATTCAAACTTAATTTTGTTTTGCTGATTTGTAATCTCTTCTTAGATTAAAGGACAATCACAGAATTTGTCTAGTTAGAAATAAAGAATTATATGTCCCTGACTTCATCTTAGTACCTAAGTCTTCTTTTAGTGTTTATTTAATATCTAAATTTGATGTCAGTGATAATAAATAGTTGAGACAGCTCCTGTTCTTTCGTGATAAGTAGCAGTTCATTTTCATGTTCATTATGTTATGTTATAGAAAGTGAAGATTACACTTCACTTTTATTGTATTTATATGACACTTCCTGGGCCTTCATAGAAATGTGTGAGATTTCAACAATCATTTATGTTAAATGGTTATTTTCTGATATGCATTTTGACAACCAGAATCTAAAACCACATCTCATGCTTATACTAAATTTAAGAGTATATTTCTAACCTAATTATAATGTTCAAGTTGAAGTTCCCCAAATAACTGAACTAGAACTGAAGCCTCCAAAAAAATAAAAAATTATTTTTTTCTGGCATTGAGGCTTGAGCCCAGAGCCTCATGCATGTAAGGTAAGTACTCTACCACTGAACAACCTCCCCAGTCCCAAAGTCTCAGAATTTTAGTTTTTGAATTTTCCTTAAAGCAACAGTCATATATCATTCTTTTGAGATTATGTTAAAAATACATAAATATATATATGGTTTTTATATTGGGTTTTTTTCCGGGGTACCAGAGATTGAAACCAGGGGCACTGAACCACTGAGTCACATTTCCAGTCCCCCCTCCCCCATTTCTCTTCTATTATTTATTTTGAGATAGGGTCTCACTAAGTTTCTTAGGGCTTCACTAAGTTGCCTCACTAAACTTTGAACTTGAAATCCTCTTGCCAGGGCTCCTTGGGGATTACAGGCATGTCTTTGCACCTGGCTCCAGAGTATGTAAATATTATTAGAAAGAAGTTGCTCACACTCCTATTAATTTCAATAGGTTGATTTTGAAGTCTAAAATGGATGATTACATTGTGGTAAAGGTAACTTGTTATGGAAAATATCCTAAATATATTAAGGATTATACTAGTAACAAATTCCTTATTGAAATGATACATCTGCCATTTATTTTAAAGATCATAGTTTTGTAATAAAGATTTGTTCTTAACTGGATTATTTATTTAAAATTTATTTTTAAGTTTGTAAACAGTAAATTTTATTCTCTTTGTCGTACAGTTCGTTAGTGGGTTAATTTTTAAGGTGAAATTTAAAATGATATATTTACTGACAAATCATTTACCTCAATTTAGGGTAAAACATGATGTTATTTAATGTATCAATGGAAGTACATTTTTAATAATGTAAATAAGATTTTTAGTTAGGATTTCTGTTGTTTATTTTCCTTAGGAGTTTTATACCCTTTAAAATCCCCATTTTACATAGATACGCCTTGTTTAACAGATTTTAAATGGTGGTAATTTAAAACAAAGTGAACCACTCCTTATTGGCAAAAAAAAAAAATTATGAGTTTTAATTTATGAGTAGACAATTCAGAGAATAGGAAAGAAGAGGATTGGAAGCCAATCCACATGAAAAAAGAAAAAAATAGTAATAAGATACAGAAGGAGACTACCCCTTCAGATAAAAGGATATATAGGGAAACAAATTTATTCATTGAAGTTTAAGTTTAAAAATTTGTATGGACATTATCCTTTTAATAATAAGCATACCAGTACTTTAACTTAAATAACAGATGTGTCACTAATAATTGAAAAGCTTATAAATTAATTTTTTAAAAAGATTGATTTTAATGCTTGGTTTTTCAGGCATTTTGAAAGATACATGTATCCCCTGTCAATATGAATTTTGAATTTAATAAGAATTTGTTTTATCTGTCTTTGGAAGATTATTACCCAAATCTGAAAATTACTATTTAGTTAATTTGAGTGGCTGGAACCTTTTTGTTTTGTTTTCCTTAAGCAAGGAAGTATATATAAATATATAAATGAATCTCATTATAAAAGATGAGGAGAATGCTTTATAATAATATGCTTGTGTTTAAGCCTGAGAGTGATTTTCAGCTTCTTGGAGTATCAGACTATTTCTTATTTACTTAATAGAGTTATTATAAGGATCACATATAGTCTTCAAGCAAGCAGTTAAAATGTTTAAAATGCTATAACTCTTTTAGGTCATATTATTACCTATATTTCTATAGACTTGAAACATGTGAATTGAGAACTATTCCTGGACTTCTGTAGTTACCACTACAGCAATAAACGGTGGCCAGACAGCAAAGAGCTGTTTCATTGTTCTTTTGGAGTAAAGGAACCTTGTCAGTATTTTGCCAGCAACTTTGCCAGTACGTTGTCTTTTGCCTTCCGATTTCTGGCATTGTTTATTACCTTTTAATTCATATCTGTTAGCTGCTAAAGAATTGAAAAGTTAGCCTTGAAAAATAAAAAATGTGGATAGACAAGTCACCTTTTGGTCTAGTCAGAATACCCTTTTTAGTGTATAGTTTAATTATAATGAGGCAGTGATGTGCAAATTCACTTGACTATTGCCTCAGGTGTTTAATCCTACTGTTGAGGCTAGACTTAGATAAGCATCTTTTTTATTGGTTTATGGTCATATTTTCATTTACCCAAGTGAGTCATAGAAATGATCATTCCCTACCCAAAAATCTTAAAATGCAAAACTTTTTTGAGTACCATGGCAGTAGGAAAAAAAAAAGTTTCTGATTGTAGAGCATTTTGAATTTTCAGACTAGGAATGCTGAACTGTTAAACTCTGTGCAAATATTCCAAAACCTGAAAAATTCCAAAATCTAAAATATTTCTGGTTCCAAGAATTTTAGATAAGGGATACTGAATCTTGTACGTGGTGCTTTTCATTTTATGTGATAAATTCATATGCAAAGAAATTTATTAATTTGGTACCCATAAAGGTGAGTACTTTTAGCCACATTTTCCCAATGAGATGTATAACTAAGATTGTATGATCTTCGTCAGCTTCTTTTTGTTGATAAATATTGGCCTTATTTGGGGTCCCAGAGGTCGTTAATACAGAATGGTATATTCTTTCCAAGCGATTGCACCTGCCTTACATGGCAGGCACTCTATAAAAGCACTTCTCAGTTTTCATTATTTCACTAGCTAATTCTGTACATTGTAGGGATTATCTAAATTTGCACTGTCTGATATGGTAGCCATTAGGTATACATGACTGTTTAAATTTAATTAAAGTAAAAAACTTCTCAGTTATAGTAGCCGCCTTTTACATGCTCAGTAGTACATGTTGCTCGTGGTTACCATATTAAAGAGTAAAGATACAGAAAATTTCCGTTCTCTCAAAAATTTCTGTTGGATAGTGCTGATGTAGACATTTGGTTTTTATAATTATTGAGACTACTGAGATGAGTTCTTGCATTATAAATATATTTTTTTATTTCTGTAGCATTTTTAAAAACCTAGAAAAGTTGTTTGATAACAATTAGTAAATGTTTAAGTTTTTTACAATAGAAACAAAAGTCCATTTGGAATCCCCTTCCTTGGGTTGGTTTTGGAGTGTGTAACTTTCATTCCCTTTTTTATTTGAACCAGCAGATAATTTTCTAGCTAGGGAGGCTGGGGTTGTGGCTCAGTGGTAGAGTGCTCGCCTTGTATGTGGAAGGTACTGGGTTTGATCCTCAGCACCACATAAAAAAATAAAGATATTATGTCCATCTACAACTAAAAAAATATTTTTAAAAATTTTTCTAGCTAGGTTATTTAGTGGTTAATTGGTAGTAAAGGATAGCAGGAAAAACTCTCCCAGAGAATCATATTATCCAGCTTCTGGACCTAGTTCTGCTACTGCTTTGGAATATATCTTAAGTCATTTAATCATTTGTTAAGAATAAGTTACTTGGACCAAGTTCTGTCAGCCTTATAATTTTGTAAATTAGAATTTGATTCAACTTGGAGATTATATATCATTTTGAATACTTTTCAGTTTGAAATTGAAAAACATTAGCTAAATACTTCTTTTCAAATTATGAAATGCATATTATAGGGTATCCTCTTTTCTCCCCAGGCTCTAGAATGTTTTTATGACTTTTCTGATGAAAATTTTTCACAAATTTTCCCATGATAGCTATCTGTGAGAGATCTGAAGACTATGAAATTACTCCACTCTTACTTTGATAGGATAAGTAGTTTGGTGATTCTCTTTCCACTACTATGTGCAGGGTAAGATTGCCCTGTAGTCTTATACATGTAGCAGATATAGAATTTGAAGTTTTATATCTCTATCCATTGTTATTAAGGTACATTATGAATAATTACAGGGATAAGTCTATATCTTATATGAAAGCACTGAAGGTATTCACCCATGCATAAATACCTTCTGTTTAATTATAATACTGTAGATTAATGTATGTG